TTCATGAATTCTTCATGAGATGTAATTTGCCATGATCATTTTTCTTGGCATTTAGGTGCTGTGAACAGTTCATTATTCATAGCTAACTTTCTTGACTTCTGAGTCCTCAAAATGGATATGTCTGCGTGAATTTTCTGAGGTTTAGATTTTTTTTTTTTTTAGGATTTTGATTTTAGGAAAAGATTGTTTGTGGTATGTTTAAAAACACTTCTCTTTAGTGCCTATAAATAATACTTATTCTTAAGACTTAATTGTGACTTTTTTTATACATACCAAATCAGTTTGTTTATTGTGGAATATGGTCAGTGGAGCATACATAATTCAGATAGCAAGAATGGGTGCTGATTATTTGCTGAATGCAAGCTCCTTTCAGTGTACATTTGTGGCAGCCTCAGTTCAACATGCAGACCTTCTTTTAGACTGCTGAGAACAAATTTTGTAAATACAAAAAAATGTATATTTACATTTATCAAGCCATTGGCTATTCTTATGCATGCAGTAGGGAGATAAGGCTGTCTTAGTCTGTGGGTAGTTTTCCAAATGATTCATTAACTGTGCTTTGTAACGGTAGATGGATGTCACACATTTACTGTAATAAGTGAAGATTAGTGTCAGTTATTCCAGCTTGTAATAGTTTGTAATTGTAATAGTTGTGTTTATACATACAGGTATTTTTTTGCATTATTGTTGGAGCTAATATATTAGCAGGAATAAATTGAAATTAATTAAATTAATTGAAAAAACAATGAAGATGTGATGAAGTATTTCTGAAACATTAGTAATGTAGGAGTTGCTCTAATGGGTATTTGTGGCAGATACTCTGTAGGAGTGGTTTATACCAAGCCTTTTTGGTAAGCAGTGTTTTGCAAAACACTGGCAAAGCTTATGTTGTCTTTCCCAAAGCATTTATTTGTGAAATCTGTCAAACTAAAATACCTCTTACTTTGCTGATGCATTACCACAGTGAGAAAAGTAGTACACCAGGAAGTCGTCATTTTTAAAAGCAGCATCTGATGAAATACATGCACAATTAGAAACATGTGACTTACAAAATCTGTGTTGAAATTCTATCACAGATAGTATATGTCAGTGTTAGAATATTCAGATTATTGGTGGCTAAATGGTCAAATGTCTATTAGCAATAACTGCATTTTATTCTTCTTCAAAGATACTACACTCTATATAGAGTATCATATTTCAGTATTGGGAATTCGGCAGGTTATTGCCCCCAAAAAAATAAAATGCCTCTTTATACCAATAGCATGTGAATGTCATCACACATGGCATTTTCACTGTAATATTTCAGGACCGGTAGTAACTGCCTAAATTGGGTCAGAAAAGGTCTACAAAAAGAGGTGTTGCTCAGAGCACAGATATTGCTAATTTTACTTGCTTATGGAGTGTAAGAATACCTTCAGGGATAAGTTTATTTTGTTTCTAAAAAATTAATAATGGGGTTAAGTCGCTCTCAAATTTTCAGCATTTATTTTGCCTATACCCAGATAAGCCCTTGATGAGTTAGGCGGACTTAGAGCCTTCTTTGATATTTTGGTAGAATTTAGTTGCAGCCCAGTACTTGCCTGTATTTTTAAAAAGTCATTACCAGTAATTAAAACACAGTAAGTTACCTGTATGCCCTGGAAACTGGAGTATTGATTTAAAAATGTTTGTCTTGTGACACAGTTATAGAATTAAAACTTTTCATCTTAGAGTTGTGGATAGAGGAAAAAAATCATACAGCAACTGTCATGTTGAAATCTGTTTGAATAAATAAAATTCCTCTTATGTAATACGTGCTGACTGATGTGGAATCAACAGCTACTTAATATTAAAAACAGTGCTTGACAATAAACATCCCAGTGCATGCACACTGAACTCTGCCCGGGGTTTGAGCTTCAGGCATGTTGGGGACAGGAGCAAATGTCTGGGAAGGAGAGCCAGGGCTATCTTTTTGTTACCATTAATAATGTAAGTCTCTACTCGTGGCAGGAATCAGTATGCACACCTGAAGTGTTATTCCTTTGTGCCTCTGAGAACTTCGAATGCAAGCTTTGCTTTTGCACAGAAATCACTCTGTAAATGGAGAATTAAAATTATGCAGTAAAAAAAAAAATCTGAAATCCTTTATCAGAAATGCTTTTAATAATTCTTCTACATTTCTATCCATTATCTCCTTTTTAATATGTATATAGCAAATGGATTTTTAGTAACCTATGACTTGGCAATAATTTGAAGGGCAAATAAGTATCTTGGTTTTCCTTTCTACCATTGAAAAATCAGGAAAACCTAATTGGAGTTGAGAGTAACTAGGAAGAAAACCTGGCACCTGGTGCAAAATTAGTTTATGCCAAGATACTTTGAAGTATATGAGGAAATGTACTGGTTCAGGAACAGATTTTTACCGAGCAGCTTACTGTTAATGTTCTGAATGTGTTAAATGTCTTGGGTTGAATTCTGTTCCTTTGCTTGGTGGGGAAGGTACGAATGCTGAAAATTTAACTAAAAAGCATTTGCAAAATGCCTAAGTAGGACACCAACCAGTTTGGAATTTTGTTTTCTTTCACAGATTTTAAAAGATCCAGGATTATTGTCTACCGCGGGGAACTATAGATAGCTTTTGAGTCTGTTGCTAATAATAGATGATGTACCGTCCTCAGTGTGTTGTGCTGAAGTCCTGCTTCTGCTGAAACTGAAACCAGTGGTGTGGTATTCCTGCTGCTTCCAGAGGGGCAGGATCAGTCCCAAAACTGCAGCTTTATCTTGTGGGGCTGGATGTTGGGAAGAACATGGTCCAGAGTTGGAAAGGCACACGGGAAGCTGCCGTTAACCATGTCAGTGGCTTCGCTCATCCTCTGACTGTGCGTTAGCGTCGGAACTGGGGATTCTTTTCCCCCCAATTCCAGTGGAGTGGATGTGGGAGCAGGAGCTGTGCTGAGCTGGAGCCTTGGGGTGCAATCCCCAGCCCCACAGCAGCTGCTGGCAGAGCTCAGAGCCCGCGTCTGCCGCGGGGTCGCGGAGGTGCGGAGATCAAAGGATGATCTTCCAGCTGGAATCCCGAGCTAAACAGATTTAGCAGCATCTGAAGCGTTTAAGTAGTACATGTGAGTAAATAGATGGATGGAATTAGATGGGAGAAGGGAAGGAAGCATGGCCGATGCCGGGTAGAAAGGGGAATCTTGAAGGAAGAGTGTGTGGGGCTGGCACAGCTTGGCCAAGGATGCCAGCAGTGCTTGGTGCCACGTGGCTGGTAAAATTGGCAGGGGGATTCTGGTTTGGATGTGCCCATGTCTTTCAAGGAGTGACTATTTTTGTGCAGTTTATTTTCAAAATGATTCTGCTGTGTGGTTTTAAGGCATTTCTGTTAAGCACAATGTGGCAAGGCTTCTTTTTATTTAAAAGCTGTTAAACCAAGTAGCTATTCCTGGGTTTGATAATAAAAATAATGGTAATTCAAAACTTATTTCCATTGATAAAAAAGAGGGTTATTTCCTAAATGAGGCATTAAACTAACACTGAAGATTTCAATTAAAAAAAAAAAAAAGACATGACCAGAATATAACCTATTTAGACTCTGAGCCACCCTCATGCAGTTAATTTTAGAATAGACACCCTTTTTTGGTATGTGTATGTGTGTCCCCATACTCCTGAATTACAGGCCTAATTTGTCACAACATGTACCTCCCTGGATTTAAAAAAGAAAGCAAATTAAGTCTTGAGTAATTATAATAATTACAGGGTCGGAAGAATCCCAGGTTCAGAGTGTGTGGTGCCTTAGCCCTCTGTTCTCCCGTGTTTGTCACTGTCCCTGGGCACTGGAATGTCCTGCCTGGGGCAGCAGTTTGCATCATTGGCTCTCTGGTGCAGGGAGGCTGAGCCCAGGCGAGGGATGATCTCCGATTCCAGTGAAGCTGCACATCGCAAACTTCACAGCAGGCAGCAAAAGCCACCATTTGCATTGCTTGAACTTACCCAGATTTGAGACTAAGATGATGCCCTTCCTTTGGCAGCACTGGTGGCAGTGAAGACAGGCTAGAAGCTGTGGTAGAGGCAAATTATATTAAAAAAAAAATGGGAAGTATCCAGGTACTTTTCTGCTTCCTTTGTCTGCCTGTGCAGTTTTGGGATGAAAACAGGCAGCTTTGTTCACGTGACGGGTGGCACTGGTGACAATGGGGCTACTGTGCTGCTACACACTTTAAGCTGAATTCTTATGTCGTTTTTTGGAAAGATCTAATTGAGTCTCTTCTGTGAAAACTGGAGTTTTGTGTTTCAAGATAGATGTGCTTGTTACCATTCCAGCCTTCACCTGTGCCTGATAAACCTTTCTTTTGATTAAACCTTTTTGATTCTAGTAAATACCTGAAGACCTTTGTATCTGTGAAGATTGCAAATCCAGGGCTTTATTATTTAAAGAGGTGTCAGTTCATTAGTGAAAAATATAGGTGGAGAATGTAGGTCATCACTGGAACCAGTAAATGGTATGTCTTGGGACACCAAGTTTATTAATTGAAGGCAAGCTGAGTGACGACACGGTGCAGATTGACTGTGCCTGGTTAATGTTGTTGTCATTGCACTCTGTGATACAGTTATTAAATAGGTAAAATATTTTACCTTTTCATATAGAGCCATACACTTACTTCATCTGATTTAATGGAACTATAATTTTAATTATGATTATTACCTTAAATTATAATTAAATTTATGTGGTTTAAATTTACATTTGTGAAAATGGCTGCGTGATGAAAGCAGAAATCAGCTTCGCATTAACAAAAAAAGGTTTTTTTAACTGCATCTTAGTATATGCTCACAGCCAAAGACTAGCATGACCTACTTTGCAACAATAACAGAGGAATCAAGCCGGGTTTTTTTGTTGAAGTATCTAAATTGGCCATGAATGCTACCTACTCATTCGTTTGTGAGTATCTTTAAAAATAGCTATTGTATCTATGAAACTTAAGGGTGGTTTTTTTTTTTTTCCCCTTTCTCTTATTTTGCTGTAGATAATTAGCACCATGGAGCCTCAGGTGTCGAATGGCCCTACTTCCAATACAACCAATGGACCCTCCAGCAACAGTAGAAACTGCCCTTCCCCCATGCAGACAGGGGCTGCTACAGATGACAGCAAAACCAACCTCATAGTCAACTATTTACCCCAGAACATGACCCAGGAGGAGTTCAGGAGTCTCTTCGGGAGCATTGGTGAAATCGAATCCTGCAAGCTCGTGAGAGACAAAATCACAGGTAAGTGCTTTGTGTTGTGCACTTTTGCCTGTGTTAGGGTCAGCTGGTGTTTGGGGTCAGCAGAACCCTGGTGCTTGTATTGCAAGTGCTAACACAGGGAATGCAGCACATTTAGTGCTGAACTTCAGGGGCAAGCCTTTAGTCTTCAGTGCTGCACTCTGCATCTAGAGCAGCTGAGAAGCCCCTTGTCTCTCAGCCTCTACAGATCTGGGGGGAAGTCTGAGCAGTGCCAGTCTGCATGTGTGTTACACACTGTGCAGCTTCTTGCAGGAGAGCTTAGGCAGGGCCTTGCTTTCCTGTTCATTCTCATTTTTATTTAACATGGACTTGCCTGAATGGCTTGAGCCATCAAATGACAGTTCCTAATTCTGACTCTGCCATTTGAGCTTTACCAAACCCTCGTTAAATTTCTGCCTAGGAGCACTGTAAGGTGAGGTGGTTCTGCATGTCTATCACAGCTTATTGACCACGGTGTTCTGGAACAGCAGTGGGCTGTAGTTGAGACACACTGCTCTGGATTTCATTCAGACGTCTGTAGATAATAGTTAATTGACTCTGGTCCCCAAAAACACTTCAGTTTGCTGTGATTTTTTTTTTTTTAATGTGCAGTAGCATATGAAGGTAGGTGCCTTCAGAATAAAAGCTTCCCATGGCAAGTGCTGCCTCAACAAGGAGAGGTGTCTCTGCTGTCACTAGAGGAGGTGTGGATGGGTACAGATGCACCTGGCCTAATCCACCTCCTTGCTGCTGCAGCCAGGAATCCACTGGTGCACAAGATGGGATGAACAATCGGCTTTTATAGCTTGCTTTATAGGTTAGTTTTCTAGGTTGTGTGTCTACTCGCACCGTAGGTGGGAGCAGCTGAAATTTCTCTGCTGTTCAGTGCATCACCAGTGCTGTTATGTTTAGCACAGAGAGCAGCAGCCCTGGGAGGGAAAGGGTTCCAGAAAAGGAGTCAGCTCCCCTCTGAGGCTCTCCTGGAAACTTGGGTGTGTCCTCTGTGGGAAGAGGCACCATGGGAAGATGAGGAATTAAAATGCAAATCTTCGTACCTGCTTCCATAACCTCCTGACAGCCATTGTATTGGCAGCATCAGGATGATCTGCTTAGTGCTTTTCAACACGCAGTGCTTCTTCTGTTTACTTCCTGACACACAGCAATGTTCTGGTTGAGCACAAGGCACATAACAAATGGCAGTAGCTGCAGGGCGGCTCGAGTCCTCACAAGTGTTGTCCAGCAGAGCTTTCTTTAGCACATTGACCATGATGTATCTATTGCAATAAATCTTCTGATTTGGCCACAGCTTCAGGTGTTCTAAAAAGAAGATTGAAAAATGGAATTGACTTTTATTTACTTTTTTCTACAGACCTTTGTTTTTCTTCTAGTCTGAAAATAATCTGAAAAATTTAACTGGAGGTTAGTTCAGTTATTTCAGGCAGAAGTGAAACCCTCATCTACAGCAGTCTAGGGTGCCTACCTTGAATTTTGGTCTTGTGTTTCATGAGCTTTTGCTGCTTACTCTATCCATCTAATTCATGATGGTGTTCTTACAGTATATTTTCAAGACTTTAGATATTTGGTGTTGTTTTTGTAGGGAATGGGTTGTCTTTGGACAGAGAGCCATTACTTCATCAGCTAGGAACAGTATTCTTTTTGTTTCATTCCATCTCCAGGCTTTTGTCTTTCTGTTTGAAGATGTGAGAAATTTGCTGTATGATCTTCTGACGTATTCTTGGGTAGTATTTTTTGCCTATGCTTTTTCTTTCCATACAAAATGCATAAATCTTTGATCATTAAAATACTTTAAAGGAACCATTCTTTTAAAAAAATTTACACAGATGCCTTGAGGACATCACCCCTACATGTTGTTTTAGTGGTGATACAAGTACAAAAGAGCCAAATATGCAAAAAAAATTGTTCTCCAAATTATCTGTGCTGGTTTTGAAAACAGAATTTTATCTGCCAAGGTTTTAAGGCCTGTTATCAAGGCATTGTGCAACATTACTGAATTTGAGTATGCATGTTCATTCCTCACATTGAATTCAGTTAGTAAATCAAATGCAGTCCTCTGCCAGTAGCAGTTCATGTTTTTAAGGTTCTCAGAACATGGAGAGTAACAAAATGGAAATGCACTGAGGTCATACCCAGCACATCGTTCTGGATCATCATGTAAGCATGTTCTTCATTAGGCCTCTGGATTAGTTTTTTGGAGGGGAGGGGTGGAAGTATGCCTGTAGGTTGATACAGGAGTAACTGGCTTTTCAGGGGTTCTTTGCTTTTTCCTTATTAAAAATCAATAGAAGTATTTTTTTTCTGACAAAGGAAGCTGTATCGCAAAAAAAAAAAACAACCCAGTGATTTCCTAAGCTGTTGCTGAAGCAGTGAAGATGTGAAACAGTTTAGATTTTGTCTGCTTTTGAATTTTTCATTGTTTCTGTTGAAAATTTTGTGGCTTTAATAGATATAAGCTAAGCATGCTCTGTTTTGTTATGCCTTTAAACAAATGGGCTGTTCTTCCTGTTAAAAGTCTGGTTTGTCTTAATATATTGTAAGTTTGCTTCCTTCTTTCTGGGCTGAATTATCAGGCAAATCAAAAAGTCAGAATAAAAAGCTGGAGAGAGCGCTTGCTTCAAGAAAAATAGAAAAGGTCATAAACCAAATCATGATTAAATAGTTATCCTGGCAAAACCATAGTAGAAAATCTCAAATGTATTTCTGAAGCTAGGTAGCATTGAATTGGCTGATGTAAAAGACTCTATTTTCCCAGTCAAGGAGCTGAAAAGTTGGGATTTTTTTTGGTTTTTTTTTTTTTTTTGAATGATGTTGAGTCTTCTGAAATGTTTTTTTCAAGGAGTTAAAAGGTATAGAAAGTCTGTTTAAACATACTGGATCTTTCCAATAAAATTCATGACTTGAACTCTTTTATTAATTTTAAATTTGGTTAAACAATGTATGACAGGAATAGTCATCAGCTCCAAGTCTTCTTGCAGTCTTAGAACAGTAGTAGGAGTTTTTAATAAAATTGGTTTGTGAAGTTGCCCCCTCGCTTTGGAAAGGCACATGTTAAAACAAGCATATTCCTTTACTAAAAAACTATGCTAATTTGGTAGTACACCGCACTGAGTTGAATAGGAATGACAGCTTCTAAGACAGCCTTTAATTTGGTATTCAAAACCAAAATCGTAAACTTGGGTTTTGTTTGGTAGCTTCTCAGAACAGGCAGGATATACAGTAACATTTTTTAAAGATGCTAATGACTTGAGAGAAGAGATGGAAGTCAGGCATACATTTTAATTATGGGGGAGGGGTTGCAATAGCAAAAATGGGTTTTTTTGGTTTTTTTCACTGCAGAGATTTTAAGAGAATGAGACAAGGAAAAACAGACTGAAGATAGTTGCCTTCATTTGGCAGGGGTGTTTAATAAAAGCAGAACTTGTGGTTGTAAAGTGTGCTTATTAAATTCTTCATTTACACTACCTAATTAATTCTAGCATTTTAAATTAACAGTGAAACTGGTCCCTGCTGTACCATTTCATAGCTACAGCATATTTCGTCCAACAACCCAGTTGTTCAGGTTTAATCAGCTGCGCTCAAAAAATGAGAAGGAACTTGGGTTAAAAAAAAACCAGCTAAGTGGCATAAACACTTTAGAGCAGCATTAGATGAGAGAAGGTGACTTCAGGGAGGAAACCTATGGCTTCAGATGGACGTGAGTGAGGCTCAGCACTAAGCAGAGATGCTAAGCTAGAGAGTGTTGCAGATTCTTTATTTCTTATTTTGTCTGAAGAAAAACAGTGACAAATGTCTTCATCGCTTGAGTGAGAGGGCTTGAATTGATGAGAATTTTCAGAGAAGAAATGCTGAACTTGTTTTGTCCTGTGTTTGCAAACAAAAGATCCAGTCAGTGTAGTGTCTGTCAGACACTGTAAGTGCTGCTGGCCCACTGAGTTGTCCTTGCTGACATAGTTTGTATGTGGGAGAAGGCGATGTTTGTTATTAATTTTTTAATTCATTTGGTAGCTATTAAGATTCTTTTTTCTTTCTCTGTAACTTACCCAGGAACTTATATCTTTGAATCTTCGGATGATTTGTATCCAAAAATCTTTGGCTTGCAAGTATTTCGCATCTTCAAATGATCCAGGAACACTGTGAAGCAGAATATTTATTGATACAAGATTTCTGTGCATCCCTTAACTTATGGCAGGGTTTGCATAATTCTGCTGTGTGGTACAAATTGATATTCTTTGCATGTATAATCAGGAACTTTGTTGTTCCTCTGCCCAGAATGTAACTCTGTTGGTTTTGGGTTTTTTAATTGTTCTTTTTGAATTTGCAATTCCTTTGAATATGTATAAAGACTGAAGTCTCTGACTTTAATTTCAGGTATTTATAATAGCACTGATGCAGGTTTAGATTTAAACTGCACTTAGAAATAATCATGACATTTTAAGTATAATTTTTAAATGTCAATGAGTGAAAAGGAGAAAAAGAAACACTGCCTGCTTTACCTGTAGTTGTCTCTAGAAGTTATGGATTGTCCACTCCTTACTCCTTGGATGTTCAAGCATAGGATTCAAGAACCAAAACGTACTAAAATGGCAGGATCAGAAATCATGTAGCATTATGAGAGTACAGGAAGGTGTTTTTCATGTGAGAAGTGTGTGGTTCCTATTCCTCTGTGGAAACCAGTAAATTTTTGACCTGGCCAGGGTATTCTCCTTCAATCCAGAAGTTTGTCCACACTGAGTTAAGTTGGTATCATGTGCCCTCTAGAAAAAATTTTTTTCCAACGTTCCTGTAAAATAAGAAGCCTATACTGAAAAGGTGCTGCTGTGAAAAGCAAAGACCCAGATTTTATTTAACCAAGTGTGTTCAGCAAGTGATGGGGACCTAGTGTGTCTCTATGTAGAGCATGCTGTTCAGAGCTACATGCTTGCAGTGTGCTGAAATTTGGAGCTTAATTAAACATCTGGATTTGGTGACTGGCTTGAAAGCAAGGG